AATGAAGCTATTTTTGTTTTCACACAGTTTCTTTTTTTTCAGGCAATTTTCTCATTGACATTCACTTTCTAATTTGTGGTTAGTATTTTATTCAGAAAGTGTTTCTTATTATAATATTAGAGAAACAGGTTCATATTCACCAATCACCATATTCCGAAAGTTTCATTATTTTAGAAATAAAATATCTACAATATCCAAGTGACTCAATATCTAAGAGACACCGAATATGATGAACATCATATTAGCCAGTAGCCTTTTCATAAAGAGAGAAAAGTATCAGTGTTATATTTTTGTCAAATGCATTAATTATATAAAGTTTCTCTGGCTACAATGTATATGTTATAGCAAGAAAAAGCAAATCTCACTTCCATATTGTACCGGTTAAGGAAATGAAAATTTTGGTTGTATTTCAATTGGTTCAACCAGGTAACTACTTACTGGATCAAGAGTCAGCATATGCTGAACAACTTAAATGGTCCAGCTCTAGATGTTTGGAATATCTTGAACCTGAGTAACTAAGCAGTTGGCAAACTCTTGTCTCAAAGTTGTTGGGTCTGCACTTTAACCCACTAGGGAAGTCTGATTTGAATTTAAGACTTCCAGACTTGTAGTGCCCATGAAACATTTAGCTGTTTATGTTGATGAGAAACATACCACAGCAGCCTTGTATTTTAAGATGGAATACAAATACATTTAGGGCAGTCAAACTGAGAAATGCATGTTACATCAAACATATTTAATTTGTATAATTAGACAGGTTCTATGCACATGGTGAAGGATTTATCAGAAAAGCAAACAATTTTATCAGACACCTGTAGAAAGATGTGTAATTCAGCATTTCACTTGTCACAACAAAACCTTACCGAAACATATATAATGACCATTATAACATCAAATTCTTACAATTAACATCTGTAACTTTATATCACTTCATATTAAACATTCAAAACTTGATTGGTTCTCTTTGTACTCTAATAACCTCTGCAAGGCAACGTGACATGCTGTCAGTGAGGTTATTGATGTAATCCACCATGATTTCATCCCAAATTGTCACTAGAAAGCACTGGTTCAGGGTCATGATTATCAATTTTCTGGCTCAGTTTTGCCGAATAGTTCTCAATGGGATTACAGTGTGTAGCCTTTGCTAGCAATTGGAATCTTGTGACATCCTCCTTATTAAGATAATCCTGTACAGTATGTGTACTGTGGGCAGTGGTATTGTCATCCTGGAACAGAAAGTTATTGCCAAACCTTGCCCTAGCATATGGGAGAAATATCGTCTTCATGAGATGCCTGTAGGAGATGCCATTGACGTTTCCCGGGAGGATATGAAGATCAATTTTTCCACCATGATGAATACTGCACCACTGCTTGTGTGTTCCCTGTGGGAAAGACATTCTTCCCTTATCTGTTCACCAGACAAATGACAAACACAAATTTTACCACCAGCTTTAACATACTGGAAACACGACTCATCTGAAAAGATGACATGTAGCCAGTGTCCAACTGTAAGTTGGCATGCTGTCTTGCCCAAGTAACATGACTGTGAATTCTGGTAAATATCGGTTTACAGAGAGAACTTCTTGCAAAATAACCTTGTTTGATCAATCTTGATACACTGGAATGAATGTGTTTATGCCATTCCTGTCATAAGATGTTGCAAGACTTCTTTTGACCTTGACATGTTAACCTGATCAAAACACGGTCATATTGAGCACTATTTTCCTGGAACAATGTTTCCTGTAGTTCATTGACGTTTCAGGATTCTGGATAGAGTATCCTAGGGGTACCCTACTGTTCTGGCAATGTCCATTTGCTTCATACCATTTCTTGACAGTTGAACAATTTGATGCCCTTAACTTCTTGCATGTGACAAGGCATGGCTCTATACCAAGTACAGAAAAATTAATAATAGGTAGGAAAACAATGATTTATAAGCATAAGGGAAAGTTTTATTGATAGTTGAACATATCATATATTTTGACAGGACATATGTCTATCTTCTTCAGGTGTGATCAGTACTAAGTAATACAAGGTTTGTATTTTGTTACAAAGAACACAGGGCTTAAATATGATGGAAATTGTGTCAGCAGGTAACAGAATATATGTAAAGGTTAAATCTGGTCAAGAGTATGAATGGTGAATAGACCTTGCCAAATACAGCTGATGTTACTAAGGTCATTATCATGGTTTAGTGAGATATAACTCGCTTTGATGATTTCTGTAGTTCCTAAACACTTTCTTTTTTAGTTTTGGGTTGGTGTCCGAGGAGTATTTCATCTCAAAGTATTTTGTGACCTATTTCATATTGATGATATGTTAAAGCAGATATCTGAGATTCACCTCTATGCAGGACCTTGGTGTTCTTTGCATCTTATTTCTAAGGAATGTGACGTTTGTCCTATGTATTTCTTTCCCATTCACATGGAATAGTGTATATGCCCTGTTTTTGTTCTTTTATTTGGTATTTTTTCAGGTTAAGTAGTAAAATGATAATTTTATGTGAAGGTTTGAATACAGTTTTTAAATTATTTTTATTAAAAAGGCTAATAATTTCGTTAGCAATTTCTGGCACAAAAGGGAATAAAACAAATTTGTTATATTTTTTGTGATGCTGATAGGCAAAAGGTTTAGAGGTTTTGATGTTTGATTCAAGCCCTATCTATGATATTGGGGATGTAACCTCTAGATTGTGCTATGTTCTTTAGTAATAAGTAAGTCTTTATTATGGGTGCAAAATTGTATATCTTGATTTACGTGGGTGAAATAGAAGGATATTTTCTGTGGTAGGTGGTAATTCGATCTTATGTGTGGCTGCAAGGTGAAGGAATGGGGTTTCTTATATATATACTGGTGATAACTTTACTATTTTCTCTTTTTACATTCACATCTTAAAATGGAAGACAAGTGTTGGATGCTATTTCTTATAAAAAATTATGACATTTGGTCTTAATGTGTTTAGGAATTCAATGAAATTGAGTAGCGTCTCTTTCCCATGTCACCATATACTGAAAATATCATCTACGTATCTTAACCAGATTTCAGGTTTCAGTAAATCTTTGCCTTATACTTATAAATCGTTGTTTGCCTACCTATTATTATATTATCATAACGTGCATCCTTACTCAAGTACAGAGAAATTGTTGAACAAAGCATTGATCTGTTTCGAAAAAATATAATACCAAAAGCACACCCTTTTATAAAAAAAGGTGTTTGTGTGTTTGACAAAGAAATGCTCAAAACAAATTATACAGACCACAATAACAGCTTGTGCATGTTTGTTCAATAATATGCTACCTTATCTGTTACTACTTGAGCATTTACTCAATAACTACTCCATGCATGCAGGGAAAATTCTACTAATTGCACTGCATGAACTCATTTGATATTGATGGTGTCAAAGTACTCAAAGTACAGTAACACCTAACAGGAATGGTTATTCATTGCTTTATATTTGGCAGGTTTATACTTCTGCCACTAACAGCAGAATAACAATAGGAAATAGGTGTAAAAAAGATTAGAAGAAACTCTCAGGAGATTAACTTGGAACTTTACTGTCCACACTGAAAAGAACAGAGTACTATTCATTTTGTTTCTTCTAATTTGTAACTCATCTACTAGCAGTAAAATAACTACAGAAAATAAGTGGGAAAAGGAGAGAGTGTAAACTCTGACCATAAGTACTTTGAGATTTTGTAATCACTACTAACAATACAATACATTTTATTTTCGTTATACTTTGATTACTTACCTACAACCTGGAGAAATAAGTATAATTTTACAGTATAAAAAATAACAAATATATTATAAAGCTTTGCTGAAAATAAAAATGTTTGTTATTAAATTACAAGGTTTTGTATTTTTCATTTGTCTTCCTTGTTTATTATTATAAAAGTAATTGAAATCATAAAAATTGAAAGTTGTTAGGTAAGATAATGATATAAAAATAATAAAAAACCTTCATGAGGTATACACGCCTGCAGCTTCTGCATTACGCTGTTCGATAAAGTCGTGTCGATGCATGTGCGCCATGTAATTTTCAACTTCTATTGGCTTATTTTTAGTCAGACACAGTTCAAAAGTCAATAAAACAAAAATTAATAAATATAATTAGATTTATACTGTTAAGCAAGGTACATTTTAATGACTGGAATGACATTGCACATTGCTTAGTATATCTGAAATGGGATTAGACTCTAGTTAATGCTGGAATTTTTCCAGTGCATCAAAGCACTCATAAAAGTATCATTATGGAAATTTGCCAATGCTCATTATTGTTCACTTGCCTTAGGTGCACACAAAACTGGAGTAACTCTTTTCATTCCTATCATCATTACTGGTAACAACCAAGCCTTTCTGGAAGTTTAAAGATTATGTCTTCAGAAATACTGCTCACCACTCTCCATCATAAAGAGCTATTATCTCCTGCACTCTGCTTTGTAATATACTGTGCTTGCCACAAGACTTCAACAAAGCTCCCACTCCTACATGTCAACATGTATTGTGCTATCCTATATTGAAATCATCAGACTATAGCCTTCCACTAGAAGAGACATATTCTCCATGCAGTAATCCCTATAAGCACTAGTATTTGAAAAAAGGCTCATTATTTCCTTGGTACTACTAGTATTTAGACATATTTCTTGTGATTTTTTAGCCCTTTGCAGGATTTACATAACAGTTTGATCTTTTACCAGGAGTTATTAATTCTTTGTCTTACTCATTTTGTTTGTTTTAGTCATTTATGGGGACTATGACTACCCATGTGTCTTTAACTAACTTGTAACTGCAGTTTACAATAATAAAATGTTTTTATTAATTTGTGGTGTGATCTTGCTCATGAATCCTCAGGTCCACTTTGTGGCACTCAACTTCAGGATTCTTCTCCTGCTGTCTCCATGGAGACCAAGGCAACTAGAATAATTGTCTTTCAATGATGCTACCACCATTGTGCATCTGGTGGTTGGTACTATTCTGCCTCATTCATCTTTAATTTAGGTCCCTCATCATTCTGTTTCTATTGATTCAGCTGAGCCTGCCTCATCACATGACGATCTTGACCAGCTCTTCCCACTACCTGCCTTTGCTTCTGATTCTTTTCTTCCTGATGAGGAACCTTCTTCCTTTGCAATCCTGATTACTCAGGTATGTGACATTCTCTTTCTCCAGTAGTTTTTAATGAGTCTAAGGATGTTTGCTTTATGAGCCGTCATCTTCTGACTTTCTTTTTTTCTTTCTTCCATAGACACTCATATTAATTCTGATTTCTGTCTGTCCCAAATACGTGTTGTTCCACATCAGCCTTGACTTCTTCACCTTCATGACTTTTTCTACGGATTTTGGTCATGTTTCTTCTTCTCTTCTGGAACCAGAGTCTCTAAAAGCTCTCCTTTCTGCTTGGGGTGCTCCCTTTCATTCACTTTGTTTCTTACTTGTCCCAAATCTGCTCATCTTCATTTTACTATCATGCAGCTCCTTCACTATTTGTCTATGATTAATCTTCTCTTGGAGGCTCAAGGATAATGACCCCTATTATGTTGTGGTGACAATTTTCCCAACACAACTATGGGTATTCTTCTTCCCTCCTTGTCCTAACCTCCATCTATACTCATATTTCTATTTCCAAATTTGTAATAGTTCTGAACATTTCCACCATCTCCGGGGTTTGGACTTCAGAGGAGCAGTTCCCACAAACAGTGTTTTGGAAATGTTAGCTGTTTACCAGGCTTGCCAACGTCTTCAGTTTCAGTTCATGGGCCATTTGGTGACGATTCATTCAGACAATTCCACAGTTATATCTCACATCAATTATCAGGGTGACACTCGTTCTCTGGGCCTTTGCTTTTCCACTTTAGAAATTCTATTTTGGTCTCAAAATGATCAAATTCAGTTATTGGACTGTCATTTCATGAGGGCTTTGAACCTGGCAGCAGATAACTTGTCCTGTTTGGACAAGATCATTACCATGGAGTGGTCTCTTTATCCTTTGGTGTTTGACTGGATTTGTTCCCACTTGAGGTGTCCTGTAGACAATGTTGTTGCAGCTCCCTTCATTGCCAAACTTTCTCTCTTTTGGTCTCCAGTCCTGAACTCTGCAGCTCTGACTGTCAATGCTCTGAGCGAGAATTGGTCCAAACTCTTTCTTTATGCCTGCCCTCCTCTTCACCTTTTCCTCTGTGTCTTGTCTCTGATTTGTTTCAAATTTTGCTGGGTCCTTCTGATTGATCCTCTTTGGCTGGCTTAGTCAAAGTTTCTTTTCTTATGTCCTTTGACATCTAGGGAACCTCTTTCACTTCTTTCTTGGTGGTATCATCTACATCAGCCAAATACATCCATCTTTCACATTGAAGTGTTGCACCTTCATCTTCTTATGTGTAAATTGTCTGATTCCTTGCACAATTATCTGTCTTTTCACACAAAGTATCCCATTTTATGTTTTGTTCTTGCTGGCCTTTCACACTGGCTCTCTATCAGTGGTAATGGATTGTTCACTTTTACTGGTCCCTTTGCTACTCTCTTCCACTGGGTTATCCTACTCTGCCCCATTATATTTGCTTTTTTACCTGGCTTTTTGATAGGGCTTATCTGTGTTGATGATCACCAGGTATAAAGCAGCTTTGTTCACTATGTATTGTCTCTTACCCAGTCTGTCTCCCTTTCATTCTCTGATCCTGAAAGACCTTTTTTGGGCTTTTCACATCAGTCATCCCCCTTGCTGGTCCTTCTTCCAGACTGGAACCTCTGCATTGCTCCTCAAGCTCTCACTAGTTCCATTTGAACCTTTGGCCTCCTGTTCCTTATGTCATCTGTCCCTAAAGATATATTTTCTCCTGCTTGTTTGTAGGTGATGCCTCTCAGACATTTATGCATTAGATGAGTACTGTACTCTTTATTACAGGGATCAACTGATTTTATTTCTGGACCACTCCTTTCTTCTAAAGACTTGGCATGCCTGGGAGGGTGATTGGATGTTTTTTCCAAGCACTCTCCCTCCTATTTCTTCTTTATACAATAATCCCAACTTTCCATCTTTTGTGTCTAATTTGGGCTGTTCATGTTATCTTGCTTGAATTTTCCCTTCTGGGGAAACCACCATTGCCTGTTCTTACCATGGGATACCTCCTTGTCTCATGACTTCTCACCTTTGACTTTAAGCAGATTGGTTCATCAACTCATTCAGTTGGTGTATTTTTCTTTGGGTGAGGATGCTCATACACTTTATCACATCATCTTCCATTAGTTTAATCATCACACAGTTTCTCTTCTCACTCATTAACATTATCCCTTGGATGAGATCCAACAGACTGGGATGTGGATGACACTTAACAAGCTTGTATTACAATACCTACATTAAATGGTGGTTTCTTATGTTTCTGGCTTTTGCCTCCCTCTGGTCGCCATTCTCCAGTCTACCGAGAGGCTCTCATGAGATGAGTATTCTTATTTTTTCTTCATTCTTTCTCCTGCTCAGTCCTCGTCATTCTTAGATTTCTATGTCCATTACTTTATGTCAATGGAACCTAACTTGTGGCTAATGTTGCTTCACTTGGTATACTTACCCAAAATCCACATTGAGTAGGGGTGTCAGAAAATGTTAAGTCCATATCTCCCTGCTCAGTTCTCACTGTTGAGATAGGATTTTCCACAAACCTTGCTTGGTGGTGTCTATTTATACCATTTCTTCAAGGCCATTCTAAACTGCAAAAAATGACAGCACCAGAGGTGTACCTCCCTTTACACCTGGTTCACACCTGCTGATTTTAGTCACGCTAATCCATGTTACTGTCACTTAGTGTGGGACCTAATTCTGTATGATTATATGATATAATATGGTCCAAGTACCTCTGGTGTTCTCCCCCATGCAACTTCCCCCAGTCCCAAGTCACAGGGGAAAGTCGATATTTGTCATTGGGCAAGGTACTTTCCCATCCATTCACTTAGAAAATAATTTCAAACTGTGCCTCATATGCCTCTCATCATAGTCTCTTGATTTCTTGCTTGGGTATTATTTTATGACTGGTTTACTGTATTCTGCAACTTGATGAAGCAATGGTGTAGCTGGAGTAGTCCAGGAAGATCCTGTAGCCACAGGTGGCAAAACAATAATGATAACAGGTGTAGGTTGGATGGGTTATCATATTCTATATTTCATATTCCATATTACAATGGTTTTTGAAGCTAGAATCTTATGCAGATACAGAGAGAGGTGCATGTGGTCTGATCCTCATATTTGTTAATTCAAATTTTAAGTGTTTTTTTGTCACTGATGTTTAATTTTTTACTTCACTAATGCCTTTCTCTACACTTCCTGTTGTTTTTTCTGTTTTGTTATTGTTATCTTTCAGTAATCCTCTTATCTCGTTGTTATCAATTTTCTATACTTCATCAGTCTTCTTGTTGTAATAATTCTGGACACTTTCTATGGGTTTTTTAGTTTCAATTTACATTTTATATAGATTTGTTTAAACTTAAGTTGGTACATTTTCTATCAAACTGATGTACGTTTGCAGTCCATGTGTAATTTTAATACCTATGTCCTGTAATTCCTTTCTTCTTTCAATTTTCTTTCTCTTTATTCTTGGTATTCTTTTAATTTTCTGTCACTTTCTTTTTGACCATCTTTCTACTGTTTCCAACAAATTATTTGAGCTTATTTCGTCATCTTGAAGTTGGTTCTTACCTATATATTTTGCCAAAGTAATCTCCTGAATCCTAAACCAATTACTTCACTAAGAGGGTTGAAGCATATACACTAATCAATACCTTAGAAAAGTGTATAATTCATATTAGAGCACCAGAGGAGATATATACTGATGAAGAAGCAAACTAACAGTCAGCTGTTTGCCAAGTTGTGTAAGGTACTGGATGTGGTGAAAACTCCTACTTTACATTATCATTCCCAGTCTGATGGTTTGATTGAGTAGGTCATTCACGTTGTAAAATGTATAATTTGTAAACTTATGGGCTTATATCAAATTAACTGGGTTGACTAACTGCCATGTATGATGGTGACTGTTCTCCAAACATGTTAATGTTATGACGTGAAGTTATGCCACTAGTATATCTGATTTATGCCTCTTCATCTGCTGCAGAATTGCCAGAATTTCTGCAAGAGTGTTCTATAATATTAACTGCCATTAAACTGTCAACGATAGCTAAAATTCATAGAACAACATTAACACTAAGAGAGAAATATATACCTGTTGTGTGAATCCTTACTAACATAATTTAAACACATACAGGTGTAGTGCCATGGAGATATTTTCTTCTGATTTTTACATGTGAAACATCTATAATTGTTCTCTGAGAAAAAAAACAACAACAAAACTTTACATATGGTAATATGGTTGTATGTCTGCAGTGAATATTTAGTATGTAAGTAGTTGATTTGAGCATGATAGCCTTAAGACAGAGGCTTTTACAATAACAACTATGCTTCAGTGTTATTGTAAAGATGTATGATTGTCAGACAGAGCATGATTGGAGGTGGTTACACAGACTGTAACAGTGTAGTTAGGCCCCAAACCCATTTTAATATAAGGTATTTAACCCTCTGTATGAGCTGAGATTTAATATAACTTTGCAGATTATAATGAGAATGAAAATTGATGCAGATAACATATGGTTATGACATACCTCTCTAATACTATCATTTTACTTTGGAAGTGTTGTAGAAATATAACTTACTCTCAATCCATTGATAAAAATCTTGGCAGATTGTTGATATGGGTATGGAATGTCATAATATTTTGGTTTTATGTTGTTTTTATGATTAAACCTAAAAACATTGCAAATAACTGCTTTATAAATTCCATTGTTTCGAGTTGGATATGTAGATTATATATATACTTTAATAGACACTTAAGTAGATTAAGCTTCTAATTTTTAAATTTCTTTTAACAACCTTCACACTACAATTCTGTTTACTAAAAAACAAAGAAAAATGAATATCTATTTTCTAATTCTTTTCTTTCTTTTCTTATTGATAAGATATTTTCAATTTGGAATTTGCCACTTGTGCTTTTATAAAGCCTACTCACACAGATTGTTATGTTCATGAACTTCTACATATTCTTCAGCACGAAAATGTACTAGTCTACAGACCTTGCAAATACAGAAGCAAATCTTATAATTTTATAGATGAA